ACGTTGTGGTTGTATTTCGCTTACTTAGTAACCTGCCATGAAAATTATAGAAGGCAGAAAACAAAAACGTTAAACATTATGTATATATATATATATATGTTTGTAAAATGGTCCTTGAATATGTTGCAGCTTTGGGAAGACCGTCTTGAAGAGGATCGACTGGTCATGGAGAGAATTATTGTTCTTTTTCGATATATCTTCTCTATATCGCATACCGAAAAGAACGAGAGGGTTCATCGCTTTTCAACTTTTCTGAATTTTTGGTTCTTCATAATGGACGTTCTTTCAGGGAATCGTTAGAGAGCACAATTGTCATGATAGGGTAATAAAAGCGTTTTTGGACTCAGGTATACAAAAGGTATCCAATTGCATCCATCATTCAGACGTTCTTAATTAACATTACATTTATTGCAGGTTTTGATCCACATAGCGTCGCAAGCAAAAGAACGTGATTTTCACTTGTCCATCCTTTCTATATTTGCCCTGATACTTGCGGAACATGTGGGTATATGCACTGTTTGTTGAATCAAGCATTTTTACAATAAACGCTTTTGAATTCATTATTCAGAACCCATCGGATATTGTCGTAGCTGGTCGTCAGAGAACTACAACTGAGAAAGAGAAGGCAGAAGAGGAGTTACGACAGGTCGTTGCAACAGAGCAGGCAAAATTTGCTGCACAAAGGAGGCGAGTGCTGTCTAACAGGCATTCGAGGTAAGACTTCTTCCTTTTTCAGCAACGTTGATGAGTTATTGGTTCCAATTCTTGCAGGAATATTTAGGTGGCCCTAAGTTTGGATAACTTACACTATCGCTAAGCTCGGATAGCCTAGATTAAATTTATGAGACTAGCGACACCTCACTGCATTAACCTGTACGCTGCCATCATAGTTAGTGAACGAACGTTTAACTAGAATTCCTCGAAGAAATTATATAGAAAACAAATTTTCAGGATATTCTGGGGACATTATATCGCTGCAACGGAATTAGTTGATAGGTGTTGTGCATAGTTTCGAACTATAGCGTTTCAGTTCTAAGGAAGTAATCAGTTTTCTATTTCAAAAAATTCTGATCTGACCAGAATTTGTTATTTTTTTTGGAAAGGAGCAAATCGATAACGCCATAAATTGAAATAAAGTGTTCGTCTTCACCGATGAAAGAATAGTGTGAAGAGTTCAATGGTGCACATATTCGTAATGAGCATCATCATTGAATTGGGAGTTTTATACCAATTCCTATTTTATGTTAGGGTTATACAGATCCCGAATTTCATCAACGTATGTAAGTAAGTTTTGCATACCCATTATCTTATAGTTTACTCCTCTATTTTTTATGGTCTTCTCTTATGTTTATGCTTTTTTTTCATTAGTTTTCTAGTCGTAAAGAAAGGTGCTTATGTGCTGCTTCAATCGTTCCAGTATCTTGTAAGTAATTCAATTTGGGTGAAGCCTGAAAGGCCAGTATTTTCTAAGAGTAGTAGGTCTTTTTTCCTTTTTGTACAGTTGATACCACTGACACATCTTCGATCTGAATAGAATTCCATAAATCATATAGCTGTGAATGGAAAGGCAATCCAACTAGTTATGGGTCATGATTTTTTCTCTGTGAAATGCAGGAGAGAGTTCATAAGTTTCTTTTAAATGACCACAGATAAATCATTTGGGTAGCTTGAAAACTACTAAGATATTGCTGTATACCAGCTGCCGAGTTTATTGAAAAGAAAACGATGCTTATCCATAGCTAAATAATGCTGGAATCTGAAAGCTGCTCTAGTAAACAGGATGCAGCATTTGCAACGCGTTCAATGAGCTCTTTGCAACTTTTCTCTGTGTGAAATATTGGAATATTTGCGTTAATTTGGGTCGTTGACTATTATTGCCAGTAGGGAGTTGCGAAATTTTGTGATCTGAACAATGCAGAAATGTCGGCAGCTGGTGTTTCATGGATTTTGTTACGAGCTCTTCAAAGCCTGAGTTCATGCCTATGATCTTTGGCAACAGAACGACTTTGGCCACACACACCTTCAATATGAAATTTACACGAGGAGCCTGGAACTTCCAGGTTACGAGTTCGATACTTCACATTTTGAGCTCGTCGGTAGGACAATCTTCAAAACTACGTATTGAAATGAGTGGCGTTTAAGTACAGATCAATTGGCAAAGATACTCCTAACGCAAAGGGAATAAGCAAGGTTCTCTCAGCAAGCTAGAGATAATATTGACGGTTTGTATTTTACTTACTTGAATATCTAAATAAATGGCTGTGTGGACCTCAGAATCTCAGTCCGTTTCATTGTTTTAAAGTCGTAATCCACAAAGCTGGTTGGATCCGTGCCATTGTCTATGCTCGCTTGTACTTTTAAGATCGGCCCTCTTAGTTTCTTGCTGACCTATTGATTGTTGGTTTAGTGTGGTTTCCACAGAATGTTAAGATAACCATACCAGGACGATCTCAGGTCCTGAGGACAGCATAGAGCTCTGTAGGGTCTTCAGATCACAGGAAAACTTGCCACCTCATGATCTTGGTCCGCCAAAGCTATAGCCATTCTTGTGGTGGCTACAATTTCTGCAATAATTCACATTTATTTCCATGAACATATGCTCAAAAGTATTGAACCTCTTGATTTCAACTCTAGCTAATCTCACCTGGTGTGAATTTTATTGCTTGAAATAAGAACCATTGGAACCTCCAGATCTTTGTTAGACGTTTCTACTTCTCTTTGTGTAAATTCTCTTACTCAACAACGAAGAGTCACTTCGCTTTTGTTTTTCATCTAGGATTATATCTCAAACAGCGGAACAGTCGAACAAGCGAGATCTTGTCAAGCAAGAAGGAGATCCTATTTGTTTTATGAATATTTAACTTCTGAACTAATATGGAAAAGAGTATTAGTACCCTTAGAGAGTAGGGCAAAATCTCAGAGGTTATGAAATCCTCAAATCCTCAAATGCTGTTTCTATCGAAAACTCGTTGGTGGTTTTCGAGTAACCAGCAAGCGTCGTAGGATATCTCTTAATAACGAGAATCCGTAATTTAACGAACTGACGCTCTTCTGTAATTCTTTCGTTTCTATTTTTTAAGCAATTTGTTGAAATGGACAAATATAGGTTCTATGGTTCGTACGTCTTGAAGGGTTTTCCTGCTGTGAACAAGAAAAACGATCTGCTGGTCACCAGGTAGGTCCATTATGCTAATACCTTTCTTTGTCCTTATAAGTGCTAATATTTGTAGATCTGTCTTTGGAAGTATTGGTTTTAGGCCTATCAAAAGTCTCGGTGAGGTCACTTTTCTTGATGAACGTAAAAACAAAAAGGTCACTGCCAAGAATCGTCGGTAAGTTGTTAGGGATTCGATCGTTTAACAACACATTTTGGTAAATTTTCAGACCTTTCGAAGGCAAGCTGAAAACGCATACCTCTTCAATGGATCTTCGAATAAAACTTAAACTGTTAGTAGAAGAAATATTGTCAAGTTGCTTTAATCGTTTGATGAAAAGCACAAAGGAGTTGGTTTGTTCCTACTTTTTTCTTTCTTTTTTGTTTATCGAGTCAGATATGTTTTGAAAGTCTAAAGACGGTGCTTTTGTTCCTATATGTCTGCCTTGTAAGCAGTTTTCTGTACTTTGATTCTGTAGGCTTTCGACTCGCGACTTTCTGTTGGTCAAAGAGACTCAGATCTGCATTTCTTTCTTCTGATGCGGTTTTTGTTGGAGTACAATCGTCTGTCGGGTCGGGCGTCTTCGGAAGTAGGTGTAGTGGTATTGTATGTTGACGAATTGGTTTGCTGCTTAATCTGGTTCAGGTTTCCGCCTGTCTATCCATAGAGGCTTTTCACCATGTCCAAGTGCAAATCTCCAATTATCTGGAAAGTGCGGTAACTATGAAAAAAGAAGCAAAGCAGTTTGGCCTACGCACACAATACTCGTTGTCTGTTTACAAGGAGTTGATCCTATTGTGGGCGCAAATATTTATGTGATACCTTGCCTCCAGTCAAATGAAATTAAATAAGCAATGAGAATTCAAATAACTGTCTAGGAAAGAAATGAGTGTTATATTTCTGACATGTTCTAGCTCTTTTATCCTAAACATCTTATAGTCTGTTGTCACCAAAGGCTTTTTTTAAAGTGATTAGCTCAAATGGAGTAAAACCTTGAGGAACAGTTTTAGATTTGAACTTTCAGTCTTCAACATCTCATTGAAAATGGATCACTCGATGAAAAAGATTTGGCTCATCGAACGTCTTATCACATCTTGATAGTTGAGGAATATCGAGAAATGGGACTAGCGATGATTAGAAAATTCTCAGTGAGTGAACATTTACACCACCTTTATTGCCTTTGGGCCCGTTAGTCATTGACTCAGATAAGCACTAGTAAAACCTTCACTCATCCACTTCATCCTTCTGCTCGTTTAGAAGCACAGTGGCTTTCATGTTACACCTTTTTCTACTATTTTGGCAATACTATCAGGTACAGCATGTTTGTGTCGTATGTACTAAGTATAATCTCCCTAACAGCATCAGCGACACATTGAGGATACCACGATATCTCTTATTTCTTCTAACGTTTGTACAAAAAACTGCTTAATGCGTTTGCTAGGATTCGAGCGTCTCACATTAGTTTTGATGGATTGCCATTGGCAGCACAACAAAAGCTCTTATTTACTTCAATCAACTAATTAGAAGTTGACGAACATGATGCGAAACACCCTCATTTCCATTTTTCTGCACCGTCACAGTATTATGTTTAGCACATATTGTGTTAAACAGCGAGAACAAATTAGTTAACATCTGGTGATGAATTATTCTCCGTCCTTATTTGCCACACCTTGGGCTATACGACCACCAACAACTCCGACGTCTGAAGAACTTTCTGCTTGTTGGTAGGTTAATCTGTTTTGACGAACTTGAAACAACGATTATTTCTTTCCTTGCCTCACAGGTGCGCAAATTTTGCTTCTACCAAACCCTTCCCATGCAAATGTGAGAAGGTGTTCGATGCTGAAAATTTCTTCCTAGGTCTTTGTATACATATGTTTCATCAGTAGTCTCATCCATTAATTATCGAATAACACGAGTGAGCACCAGTAAATCTCATTCGTCCCTATCGAGCATTCCGCCTGCTAAATTATAGGACGTGGAAGTTATCACTTTCATGCTGTACGATTTTAACTATTCATGATAAGAAGAAAGGCACTAGTGGCTAGTCGAATTTAGCTGTAGCAGACATTTACTTCTTCCTGGGTGTTAGGATGAGAATGTCGAACTGCTCAAGTTCGGTGACCTTAGTGGGAGTTGAATCCCATCGTATTTCGCAATTGAATACCCAGAAACACACCTCAGCCTCGAAAGAGCTAGAAATTACTGCGTTTTTCAATAAAGGTTGTGTAATGTGTCGGTCATTCATTTTTGTACGTTTGAAGGTGTTTATCTTTCTCTTCACAAACGTTCTATAGATTGAATTTTGTTAGGATACGTCCAAGTTTTGGTTTTGCTCTTGATGGTATTTTGTTATCTCCAGAGAAGGGTTATAGCTACAATGCTAGACGTACACATGTTACTCACTGCATGTCGCATCACATCTAAAACTTAGCAGTAATATTAAGCCCGTTGGCAAACTAAATTAGTTGTGGAACTATATGTGTTCTTCCTTCCAATGGTTCACCACCTCGTCGTGGCTAGGAGGTATTCCTGGATTTCCGGCTGCGATCTACAGCTAGCGATTCATTCCCCCGACAGGGTCTCCCAAACCGAGAAAGAGTCCGGAGTTTCCATCAAGAAGCGCAGCTAAGAGTAAATCATCATCCTGGTGTTAAACTAGTCGCATGGTGGCAAATCACTCTGATCCACAAGGACGGTGGCTGCCTATGTTGGTGACGACCTGGGGCAGACATTGGCTAAACTGACCTCGGGACTCCAAGGAGCAACAGTAGCTGAATCAGCAAAACCCCGAAAAGTGGAGAATATGCTGGGGCCTGCACAACCAATGAGGACGGGCCGTCCAAGTATTTCAACTAAGTATATGTTTTTACTAACTGCTCTTGTTAAGCTGATGCAAAGTTGGTATAAGTTATCGTTGCTGTTGCGGTTGTTTTTGTCACCACTGCTGTTGTTGCTGCTGCTTTTGTCGTGCTTTTGCAAGTGTTCGTAAAGACATATACAAATATATTGATTATTTATGCCGAGGTTTGTAGAATGTCGGTCGTTTGAGTCATCTGTAAACCGTTGTTTTTTAATCTGATATTTTCATGCTTTTCTTCATCGGTAGTCGAGTGTTTTTACAGCCAGCATTTCTGTCAAAAACGTACCTCAGCGAGTTGATTTTATCAACTCATCATTACCTTCAACTACTTCAAAACGCCGTCAAATTGGGACAGTTGAATACTGTTAAGAAAAGAAGCAAAATTAGGCGGAGGATTGCTCGGGGTAAAAAGTGTACAGTTGTTTCGAATTTCTACTGAGATTTTTTGAAGTTTTTTCCTTGCAGAAAATAATGACCAAGCGCCACTTCCGGCTCTGGTAGACAACTTGAGCTCTGAGGAATTGAGCATTAAGTGGTCTTGTATCACTAATGAACTCAAAGACATCATCTTGGGGAATTTGGAGTGTTCACCAGATCAGACTCCCGTCAATTCGCTGCTTGACGTACGAGAAGAACAACATCAGTATGTGACTTGTAGTTGAAAAAAGATCCTCATAGGAAGCGGTGAGTGTGCAAAGCTGTGTTCAAAGTGATTGAAATCTTGGTTTAGAGTTTCTTTGTTTGGTTATGGAGGCGTCTGGCCGAGTAGATTGCTATCAACTTGACCTTTCCAGGTTCTGAGGAAGGCGAAATCCGCCGAAACGTCAGCTTAATCGTGAACAAAGAATAATAACACCTCGCGTTTGCTCAGCAGAAATACGAAGAAAAAAATCCGTTCTAATCGTAATTTGTTCGCTTTTCAGAAAGTTTGCAATGCTGAAAGTGCAAAGAGCGCTACGTGAGAGTCGCACTAAGGATGCAATGGGATTGTACCGATCTTCTAGGGAGTTGTGGCCAGCTGATGGTACTCAAGTGTTTTTCATTGTCATTTATCACTTTTCCACTCCACTATTTTCAGGTATATTTGGGGATCCTGATAGTAGCGTCGAAGAGCAACTCGACGAAATTCGTGCGGTTTTTTTCACCGATCTCAAAGATGTAATATATTTCCCATTTTAAGTTATCTGCCTATCTCAATAGATGTGGAAGAGATTTTTAGGTAGCGGATGAGCTTCTTAATGTTGAAACGGCGATGCAAAAGAAATTCTCGTCTGATTCCTTTCTTGAAGGGGAGGATGAGGAACACTGTTCCACTGATGAAGAAGTAAATGAGGAGGCTAGATACGAGATAAAAGAGGTGCGCTTTGTTCTACATTATCCTCCAGAGCATTTGTGTATGTGTATCCTAGGTGAATTTCGACTTCCCAGAGTATGTCTCCAAATATGCTAGAACGGACGTATTACGATGGTGAGCGTTAAGGTTTAAGTTCTTGCTTCCAATTAACTAGGCGATCTAGCCTTCGGTATAGGGTTACGTTATAGTGACTCCAACTAAATCGTTTAGGTCCTCTGGATATATAAAAATCCTACAGAAATTTCCACCTTGTAGATACGTAGCTAAGCCCACCAAAGCGGATCTCCTACAATAACAAAACATTCCTCTGTAAAAAGAAATCTTATTTCGCTACCTAATTCCGTTGAATTAACAAAGTTGTAAGTTTGACGATAGCATTATTGCAACCAAAGTCTTATTCATTCCAAAATAGGAAGATTTGAAGCAAATTCCTTGCCGAATTGCAAGTTTCTTATATTGTCCTCGACTATTGAAATGGCCACATCAGTTTCTCACTCACTGCAACAGTAAATAAATCACTTCTTGTTCATGATATAGATAGGATTATTGAGCCTAATTTTTACTTACTTCCTTGGGTACTTGGACGGTTTTCACTGGTTGTGCGGACCCCAGCATAATTTCCGTTTTTCCGGACTTTTGATGATCTAGCCATTGTGTTTCCCGAGGTCAGCCTGGCCAAAGTCTGCCCTAGGTCATCACCACTACAGGCCATCGCTGCCTTTGTGGATCAGAGGGAGATTAGCCACCATGTAACTAGTTTCATACCAGGATGGTGGTGAATCCTGATATTGGTTTAGGCTTCCTAACAGAAACACCAGTCTCCTCAGTTTGGGAGACCCTGCCAGGGGGACGAATCAACCTGTTGTACAACGCAGCCCGACACTGAAGAAAACCTCGCAGCCACGAAGAGGCGGTAAACCTTTGGGAGGAGGCTTAATTTTTATAACATATTATTTCAGGTATGTTTTCCTCCTAAATGATTTCGCTACTAATTCCGTGGAATTAAATAAAGCATTGGTGAAGCTTCTCCATCGTATTGCTTTCAATTTAGACATGCCTAGTAGATTATTCCAGGTAAGGTCAATCCACAATATCTTTAGAGCTACCATGAAAAATAACTAGATATTTGTGAAGTTGCGATTGGTTCATACACGATGTATTACTCTGCTTTCATTGCTTTCATTGTTCTTGGATCTGGTCATACATTTAGAGTTTACCTCTTTTCATCGTATTTTTGTTGAGCAAACGCGAGGTGTTACTATTCTTTGTTCACGATTAAGCTGATGTTTCGGCGAAATTCGCCGAAACGTCAGCTTAATCGTGAACAAAGAATAGTAACACCTCGCGTTTGCTCAACAAAAATACGAAGAAAATCACTTGATCAATGCCGAGGTTAATAGAAAGTCGGTCGTGGCAGTTACCTCTTTTCAGTTGTCATTATTCCGTATCTTCGCGCAAGTGAGAACGTACTTCAAAGGGATTCCGAAGGACGATATGAGAAGGAATCCACTTTTCGAGCTTTTTAATTTTGGACATCATTTGCTGAAGAAGTCAGTGCAAAATATTTTGGATAAGTTCGAACTAACTACCTATTTCTTGTTATTTGTTGAACGTGGGCCTCTAGGATCTCCTGTGATTTCTCTTCATTCTTTTCGAATTAACCAAACGTCCCAGGCCATTCGAATCTAGATGAATTTACATCTGATTAATAGTGACCGGTCTTTCTTCGAGTTCCCTCTTGAGACGTTGGTTGTAAAATTCCTGTTTGCAGAGGGTATTGTGGTCTGCTATGGTAGTAGAAGTGAACTTTTGCCATGGTAGAGCGTGGTATGTTTCATATGATTGCATTTTTGGCAAAAAAAGAATATTGTATCCGTTCCAATTACTTCTTCATTTCTTGAGTTACAGCTCGTAAAGGCTTACTTTTCGTGTTGTTTGTGCTGACAAGCAATTTGTGAGTCTGAAATTTATATCTATGGTTTCAAAAGTGTGAAGCAGTATATGTCTTGCGTTGCTGACGTAGCTTTTATAAGGTTGACTTATTCAACTCGTTTTGTTGAACCTCCTACTACTGATTCAATGAAGCTTTTATTTCCATCGTAGTCTTCCGGCTTCTTGTGTTGCAGTCCTGTTTGCCTTTTCCTCCTCTCTTACTGGACTCACACAATGTTGCTGTTGTCGTGTCTATCTGTCTAATGTTATACTAGCTTTGAAAAAATGCAAAATTTCTTCATGGGCTATTCAAAATTGGTGCGTGGCATGCATGGCATTTCAGATTCTTCTCATGCTATGGAATTCTAGAAGACAAACTTGCACCTGAAATTCTTTTTTGGAAAGGACCAAAGGAGTGTTACGAAATCCAAAATGGTTACGGTACTTACGAGTGAGTTCGTCTCTATTCAAGGTGTCTTGGAGTTGAGTTTTTGTGTTACCTGATGTTTCTAAAGCGCATCCAAGAACAAGAAGGAAGTGAACACATGGTCATGGGATGAAGAACTGGAAAACGAACTACGATCACTGTATAATGAGTATCGAGATATGGATGAACGACCAGAAGGTTTCTAAGCTCGCTAAAATAGTTTTCATTCAGCCTAGTTCACATAACATTGTTGTTTTCAGGCATGGACGTCCTGGATTTTATTGAGCCAAATCTTAGCCGTGCTTGTACGCGAAAACAGATTTATAAAAAGCTTAAAGAATTTGCTCTGGATCCACTTGGAGCTAGGGCCAATAAAGAGTGATTTAGTCTATTTCTAGTCACTGAATTAACTATTGTTAATGGAATATTATACCAATGCTCATTTGTTCATTTGAAACTGTTGCTTTTAGATCAACTATGGACCGTCATTTTCCGATTAAACAAATGAAGGAACTGATCGAAGAATATAATTCAGCACAAAGAACGGATGGTAAGAAGTCTTCTAAACTCTGTTGATTTTAAAATGTTTTTAATCATGTTTTTAATTGCATATAGATTAGCTGTCAGAGTTTCCTGTTTTTTATTAGACTGCAATTTGGTAGGGGGAGGGGGTAGCGGAGTGGTTAGCGATTTAGTTCATCAGAAAGCAAAGTGCTGGTTTGATCACCGCCACAACGCTCTCCTCTGATCCATGTGGAAACTTTTTAGTTCGGCTATCGCGATTATTGCAAGGGAAATTGACTCGACCAGAATTCTACGACATTCATAAAGAAAATCCATATGTAGCACCAGAAACAATAGACTGTACCCGAACTCATGCTGTCACCGTCTCTACCATTGGGGCAAATTATGCAATTTTGCGTTGCGCATAGACGGTCGTATAGGCGGTTACGAACTAGCTGGCGCCTTAGATTACTCGGTGGTATTTCGATTATCGTTACCGAATTCTCTAGACTGGCCCTTCTTAAACAGCGTTCTGTAGCTGCACTTACTTCATTTGAAATGAAGGGCAGTATAAACGGGACCTTGTTGTCGCTAGAGTGTTCGTTGGGGTACCTGTGGTTTCCTCTACACCTATCTCGAGCTACGGTTTCGTAGCCATTAAAAATGGCAATTTGCGGCGCCAAGTTCCGGAACTCCTCTCTCTGTTGTCTCCCTGTGCACACGCTCGTAGCTGTTCGATACATGTTTCTCACAAGCGCCCTTTTCGTGTGAGAGGGATGAGAGGAGAGGTAATGAACTAGGATGTTTTTACTACTTGGCTTTCGATACCATTTCGTAATGTAGCCGTTTTCTGACAGGTTAATTTGCGCGTTCAGAAATGGAAGCCAGGTTTCTTTTCGTTTGTCTCGGGTGAATTGAATATACTCTGACTCTTCGTTCAACAACTCGAAACATCTGTCGATTTCTTCTTGCGTTGAACAAATGACCAAGCAGTCATCTATATATCTACAGTAGAGTAACGGACCGAGGTCGATTACTGGCGCTTCCACCTTCCTTCCTTCCACCTTAGTAATAATTGTTACTACAATGATGCTGAGACGTTTTCAAAACTCTGGAACGCAGGTGTCTGTGGCGAGGATCGAATTTCGTTGTTACCCTTTCGAGAGGCTGACGTGTTCACCACTACACCATGTGTCTTTCGTTTCTTCTTTCTCTCAGCCCTGTTCTATAGTCGCTATAAGCAATCACCCGTCAACGGGATTGATCTGGGAGCACAAACCGCAGTCTGATCACAACAAAGTGTAATCAGTTTTTGCTTACTGCCTATTCTTTTTTCGTGTAGGGTATGATGTGTAATAAGAATACAGTGGTGGATATTTGCAAAACTCCGGACCGCAGGTGTCTGCGGTGGTGATCGAACACGCTATTACCTTTTACGAGCGCTAACGTGTTCACCATCACACCATGCGGATCTTTTGTTTCTCGTTTCTCTATAGCCTGCTTCAGGTTAACGGGGTTCAGCACCCATTTGTGCTCCCCAGATCATCCCCGCTGGCAGATGAATGCTGACGACATCGTTAGGGTAAAAAACTAGTTCAGGGAAAGGCAAAGCGTAGACCTCAGTTATGCATTGCGTAACAAATGAGTCAGCAGCATTGTGGTTGTATTTCACATAATACCTGACGTGAGAAAAAACAATAGACAGGGAATAAAAAATTAATTATATAATCTTAACCCTTTTATTTACTACCTTTTTCTTTTTAATGGCAGAGTATGTTGCGAAATATAACTCGTATGAAATGCTGAGATATTTGCAAAACTCCGGACCGCAGGTGTATGCAGGTGTATGATCCGGATGGCGTGGTGGTGAAGTGCGCTGCTCCCCGGTAAGGACAACAGAGCGTGTTCGTTCCCCACTGCATACACCTGCCGTTCGGAGTTTTGCAAATATCTCAGCATTTCATACGAATTAATTATATAATTTCCAGAAGACATGGTGGAGTTCTTACGTGCTCGCTTAACTAGTAACGAAGGCGAAGAGTTTTCACGAAGAAGGATACTTAAGCAAATTAATTATCAAGGGATTATCTATGAGAAAAAGAAATCAGTGTAAGTTTCCCAAGCGTTAGACGGTAAGAATGATTCGACTTCGTTGTTAAGTATCTCAACCAATAGAAGTCTTCGTTTTACTTTCAAATATGTGAGGTTTAAAGGTTGAATAAATCGAAATGGTCGGAAGAGCTGCAAGCAGAACTAAAGCTTCTAAAGCAACAGTATGACGAGATGGACGAAGATGATCATGAACTAAGTATGTTAATAAATTAGAAAATATCCTGTTTCTTTGTATGACGCTAATGTCTTGTTTCTTGCTCAGTGCGAGTTCGTTTAATTTGACAATTAAAACTTTTTAATGAATTTTTAAGTTGATTTGGTCACTTATGTGATGCGACGATTGAGTGAAAAAAAGCCTCGACGGCAAGTAGAACGCGAACTTAAAGCGTTTGGTGTTACCATTACGCCACGGAGTAAGTCAGAGCCTACCAAGTTAGTCAAACATCCCCATGAATATTTTCTGTTAAATGTGAATTTGTGTGAATACCGCCATTATGTCGCTGTTCTAGAGGGACACAAAATACTCGGACAGATGATGGTGGTGGAAATCCCAGTTATGGAAGTAGTAAGGTTATTTACAACTGATGCTTGATAATGTCACTGTCGGTTTTGTGTATTCGGTCTTAATACTATGCCATGGTGGTACTCTAAACGTTATCGCATTTTGCGCTAGGCCAAAACTCTTAATGATTCAAGTAAGACCCAATGTCTGCAAAAGACAACGATGTAGTTGATTTATTGTGAAGTTGCAGGCAGAAGACCATATTGTTGGATGCGTCAACTTCGAACTGTCTTCAGCAAATGATCAAAGCAAAGATCATCTAATTAATTCGTCAATAAAGGTAATTGGTTCTCAGTAGTAGTTTCATGAACGGGTCAGGTATAAGCATTAATGCTCAATCATAACGATGTTGGGATAATTTTAGCTTATTATTTACTGCCTACTCTCTTTAACGGCAGGCATATATTACGAAATATAACTTTAATGATACTGAGATATTTGCAAAACTCCGGAACGCAGGTGTCTGCGGTGGGGAACGAACGCGTTATCGCTCTTTCCGGGTAGTAACGCGTTCACCACCGCACCATGCGGGTCCTTCGTGTCGCCTGTCTCTCAGCTAGTTCCATCGATCTTTTGCCGTCAGCAATCACTCGTAAGCGGGATTGATCTGTGAAGTCCAAATCGGCAACGAATCCAGTTAAGCTGAGGCTTTAGTTATAATCACAATTTTAATCGTTTTATTTACTGCCTACTCTTTTCTAATAGCAAGGTATACTTATGACTAGACGAGAAACAGGCGAAACGAAGGACTTGCATGGTGTGGTGGTGAGCGTGTTACTCCCCGGAAAGGAGCGCTATTATCCTTTCCGGGGAGTAACGCGTTCAGCACCACACCATGCGGGTCCTTCGTTTCGCTTGTCTCTTAGCGGGATTGATCTAAGGTGCCCAAATCGGCAACGAACCCAGTTAAGCTGAGCCTGCAGTTATAATCACAATTTTAACTTATTATTTACTGCCTACTCTTTTTAATTCCGCTCACGGGTGATTGCTGATGGCAAAAGATGAATGGAACTAGTTGAGAGACAGGCAAAACGAAGGACCCGCATGGTGTGATGGTGAACGCGTTACTATCCGTAAAGGACAATAGCGCGTTCGTTCCCCACCGCAGACAACTGCGGTCCGGAGTTTTGCAAATATCTCAGCATCATTAAAGTCGGAATTCGGCTTCTACATCGTCCTTGAACGGTCGATTAATTTTACATTCCTACTTTCGTTTCTGATTTGTTTTAACATCTCTCCGAATCAACTAGTAGGAAGACCGAGCGAAGGATTCGTCGCCGAAAACACACCTCCTCTGATCCACATCATGGTGAAGATCTGGATACGCCCTTGCAAGGTTAAGTCAGGACTCCAGGGTGGACAAAGTTGCACGATCAGCAATAGACCAGCCTCAGTACCCCGCACACTGGATGCTCCCGTCTATGACGTCAGGCGGTGAGACGACCGGTGAAAGGTCAGAAAATCTTGGGTTACGCAAGACGTCATTGTGACCTGATCTGACGAACGCACGCACGACACGCCATAGAGATTGCTTCTTACTATGCACGTATAATGCCAGAACACTCTCCACAGATGCCGATCTTCACGCCCCTCTTGTAGCCGCAGATCGCATTAAATTTTATGTGATCGCATTACAGGAAACAAAAATCAAGAAGACCGACATATGCCAACTAAACAGTGGGACCCTTGTGATTCGTAGAGAAAAGGTCCCGTCACGAAATGTCGGCGGCGTAGACTTTGTTGTCCACCCATCCATTGTCCATTTCGTCGGCTCATACGCGTTCGTTTCCCCACGCATCGCCGTTCTCCGTCTTCAACTGTCGCATCATAAGAAGATCACTGTCATCAACTGCTACTCACCGACCGACGCAGCCGATGAGTACGAATCAAATGCGTTCTACTATCAGTTGGAGGAAGTCATCCGCAATGATAAAGCACATCATAAATTTGTTGTTGGAGACTCTAACGCCAGAATACGAAGGGCCAACGAGAGCGAATACAGGATCGGAAATTTTGGATTAGGAGAAAGAAATGAGAATGAAAGCCGTCTCGCAGGACACCTGTCAGCAGCACGTCTCTTCCATGGAAACTCGTTTTTCCAGAAGAAAGTCGCTGCTGGACATGGGAGTCTCCCAACGGCATGACTCATGCGGAGATCAACCATATTCTAACAAACAGAAGATGGTGCCTGCTTGACACACTGTGCCGAATTCGCCTCAGTTCCTCAAGCAAGAAGATCGGATCGCATCTTCATCACTACTAAGGAGTTGCTCGAAAACAGAAGGAAACTGAAGTTTGATCCTACTTCAACACGTTTAACATGGCTAGTAATAAATGCCAGCTGCAGAAGAGCTTTGCACGAAGATCTACAACGGTACAAGCAGAAGAAAATACTGGAAGTAGTAGAGGTAAGAAGCAGTCTGAAAAAGTGCTGTCGGGACTTGTGTGAGTATAATGTTCCGTTGTCAACCCTGATGAACAAAGATGGGATTGTCAAGACTTTCCGCCATGATACGGAATTAATAGCGGAAACGTTCTACACCAACCTTTTCCGTCCCACAATCCCCGTCCCGGGCCCTAATATCCCCACTAGAGAAAAACTACCAGAAATTCTTTCGTCGAAGGTTCGAGTTGCGATAGAAAGCATGAAAAGAGGCACAGCTCAAGGACCCGATAATATTACTGTCGATTTCCTTAGATATGGAGGCCACAATTTACATGTACTTCTCGCAGATTATATAAAAGACTACCTTCAAAAGGAAAAAATCCCAGACCAGTGGAGGACGTCACGCACGGTCATCCTGCCCAAGAAAGGAGACCGAAGGGATCTTCGTAACTATCGTCCCACATCCTTGTTAAGTGTACTCTACAAGCTCTTTACGAATATTATCCTCTTGCGCATATCAAGGACATTGGATGAGGCGCAACCAGTCGAGCAAGCAGGATTTCGAAAAGGTTTTTGCTGCATGGACCACATCCAAACCGTGTCCAGGGTCATCGAAGTTTGTCGGGAATACCACTTGACTTTAGTCCTAACCTTTGTCGACTATGAGAAAGCGTTTGACAGTGTCGAAACGAATGCAATCTTATCAGCGCTCGTCGACCAAGGAGTGGACCCGTTCTACATATAAGGACTCTGTCTGACTGTTATCGGAACTGCACTACGAAAATACAGCTTTTCCATCGACCTCTTACAATACCCATAAGAAAAGGGGTTCGACAGGGCGACACAAATCGCCAAAGCTGTTCAGTGTCGCACTACAGTGGATGATAAAGTCACTCGATTGGAATTAGAAAGGCATACGTATTGATGGAAAATTCTTATCAAACCTTCTTTTTGCCGACGACATTGTCATCTTCTCAAGAAGTACTAGTGAAGCAGAGGTGATGATCAACGAGCTAAACGAAGCGGTGAAAAAGATCGAACTTCGCATAAATCGAAGAAACACCCAGTTAATGAAAAACCCATGGTGCGAAGGCGAAAAAATTGAATTAGATGGCTCTCTCATTGCAGAAACCACCTCGTACGTTTACCTTGGGCGACATTCGGACCTCTCAAAGCAGCCACTGACCAACTGATGGACTCGAAAATCCGCGGTGGGGGGTTGATACTTCAATTACTTCAAGAGTGCTTCGAGCTACTCACAGAGCGCTTGAGCGATGTCTTCTGAAATATAACCGGGACTCTAAATATGTAGTCGGAATGCGAAGCTCTAACCTTCGAAATCTGTCACGTCTTCGAGATCCAGGAGAATATACATCGACAGCGAAACATAGATGGACGGATCACATAATGAGAAGGACAAACGACAGATGGACGAAAAGAACAGTAGAGTGGACTCCAAGAGAATGCAAACGTCACCTTGGACGACCATCTACACGTTGGGCGGACGTGTTGTTTGACAAAGTTAATCAGCTGTAGCCGCAGCTGCAGTTGTTTTACAGATCACGTTATGAGATTCGCAAGCGCTACCATGGTCGAAAAAAACCACCACCATGGACTACGATTGCGAGAGAAAGAACGAATGGCACACCTGCTGAAGTCCACACAACTCGTGAAGACGGACTGTCCAAGTATCCAAGTAAGTAAGTATCATTAAAGTTATATTTCGCAATATATATCCTGCCGTTAAAAAGAGTAGGCAGTAAATAATAAGTTAAAATTGTGATTATAACTGCAGCCTCAGTTTAACTGGATTCGTTGCCGATTTGGGCTTCCCAAACCAATTCCGCTGACAGGTTATTGCTGATGGCAAAAGATCAATGGGACTAGCCGAGAGACAGACGAAACGAAGGACCGGCATGGTGCGATGGTGAGCGCGTTACTCCCTGGAAAGCACAATAGCGCGTTCGTCCCCCACCGCGGATACCACTGGTCCGGAGTTTTGCAAATATCTCAGTATCATTGATGTTAAGATAGTACTCGAAATTCTTGTTGAGCAAACACGAGGTGTTACTTTACTCTGTATTCCGTTAAAACTGACGTTTCGGCAGATTTCGCCTTCCTCAGAGCCTGGAAAGGTTATGTTGACAGCAATCTATCCGGCCAAACACCTCCATAACCAAACAGAAAAAACGCTAAACCAAGAGTTCAATCACATTTAACACAGCTCTGCACACCCACCGCTTTCTATGAGGCTTCCACTGAGTATGTCGCGTGAAGACCAACCGCACAGAATTCACATGGAAGCGTAATGTGCCCCTCCCATCAGAATAACAATCTTATTTATTGCCCAATATCACGCGTGATAATGACGCATTCCTCCCTTCGGTTCATTTTCGGATTTCTGAGATTAATCCGGAACGCGCCGAGGGTTTTGCGCGCTCGTGTTCTCGATTCGTGTGCAAGGATCGTGTCCCGTACTTCAAAGTCCTGCCCGTTATGTCTCTGGGTCACATGCGTGCCTAGTGGGGTATTTGGTTCACGTTTACCGAATGGTCTAGACCAGCCCTTCTTAAGCAGCGTTTTATAGCTGCACTTACCTCATTTCAGATGAAGCGTAGGATAAACGGGACCTTTTTATCGCTAGAGTTGTCGTTTGGAGGCCTAGGATTTTCCCTACACCTATCCCGAGCTACAGTTTCGCAGCCATCAGGAATGGTTATTTTGTTGAGATATTCGCAAAACTTGGACCCCGGACCAGATCGAACCACGATTATCGTTTCCGGGGTTCATGTATTTGTATATGTATTAGAATTACACACTGCACCACGGAGGTACTTGCTCTGCGTTTCTCTCAGCTAGTCTTCTACCTAACGCTGCCATCAGGTCACCAGTCAGCGGGATTGATCTGGGGAGCACAAATCGGCATTGAAGGTAATCGTGCTTCGATCTGGCCCAGGATCCAAGTTTTGCGAATATCTCAGCATCGTTATGGTTGAATTTCACATCCTACTCTGCCGTGAAAAATTATAGTAAGCAGAAAATAAAGGGTTAACGTTGATGCTCGATGTTTTAGTTAGCAGAGAAACGTAAGCGTCTACTGTCTAATTCTGATGAAGATGACCATTTTGAGTTGAGAAGTACGAAAACAAGATCATCGGCCTACAAGTCTCCCATTCCTTTGCAAAGCATAAATATGGTGTTCGATTCAACAGGTTCTCTAGGCTATGACGAAGCTAGTAGTTCGCCAATGAAGGTAAATGATCGTCAGTTGTAGTTTTATGAGAAGATTGGGTATTAAGTTTGTGCTGGATGTTCTAGCTAGCAGACAAGCGCAAGCATCTACTGTCCGTTTCTGATGAGGATGATGATTTTGCATTGGGCGTTACGAAGGAAAGATCATCGCCATATAAGTATGCTATCCCTTTGGAAAGTATAAGTGCGGAATCCACTTCATCAGATGCTCTAGGCAATGACGAAGTTAGTGACTCGCCAATAAAGGTTAGTGCTCATGGCTCTAGTTTATTGAAAG